TCGCACCATTTATTAGCACCACTGTTCCAGAATGAACCCATTCAACAATGCTGGCTCTTTGCCAATCCACACTGCCACATCCCAAATCTCCATTGTGGATGTCTTTTTTCCCGGCTTCACTGGCATCTCTGTGTCCATTCAGCAACTCCTAGCTAGTGACCTGAACAGCTATGCTCACCTTCTGTGCTTCTGCAGCATGCTCCTGTTCTTGGGTAGATATGCCGTCCGTTACTTGACGGACTTGATGGAGACCTATTTCAGTTCGTGACTCTTCCCTCTAATGATAACTCTTTCTAACCATCGACAGCTTCGACCGTCCACGTCTCCTACTACAACGAAGCGTACGACATGCTCATCGCCTGGGTATCCACTCAGCCCTTCGCCCATAAGGCTCACTCCTCTCTCGCAAGTATCGGCGGCATGCAAAGAAGAGCATATGCTGATGATCTTTCAAATGAGTACAAGAAAAAACCTTTGCGCTTTTCACCTTGGAATGGATCATTCTTATTCGTGTACAAGAACCATCTGCTCCGGTTCCAGTGTGTGGCAAAAGAGACCAAAGAAGAGATCTCCATTTTCTGCATTGGCGGATCTTCACAAATTCTGAGAGCACTCCTGAGTGATTGCTGAGCTGAGTATCTTAAACTTATCCAGTGAAAGACTACAGTCTTTGAGCATCATGATGGTGAATGGAGGAAGGCGAAGGCAAGAGACATCAGACCAATCTCGACAGTCATCATGGATGAGGGCGAGAAAACGGCCCTGTTGAAAGATATCGAGGATTTCCTGGACGAGCGAGCTCGGGGCTGGTATGCAAGGCGCGGGATTCCCTATTGAAGAGGGTTCCTGCTGTATGGGCCTCCTGGAACCGGGAAGTCCAGTTTCAGCTTATCTGTCGCCGGGCGTTTTGAGCTAGATATCTATGTACTCAATCTTTCCAGCATCGACGACAGCCGCCTAAACAGTTTGTTTGCCCAGCTTCCCCCGCATTGTGTCATTCTCTTAGAAGATATCGATGCTGCTAGTACTGCACGAACGGAAGACAGTGAAACGATGAAAAACACTGGCCAGGCCGCGGTAGGCTCTTCACAGAAGAGCAAGTCTCAGAGAAATGTATCTCTGTCCGCGCTTCTTAATGCTCTGGATGGCGTGTCTTCGCAGGAAGGTCGATTGCTGATTACGATGACAAATCACATCGAGCGTTTGGATGACGCACTCATCCGCCCTGGCCGCGTGGATAGACAGGTTTTGTTTCAGCTCACTGATCACAAAATGAGTTCTCGTCTTTTCTGCACGGTTTTCAAGTGGTCAGATGGGGATCAGCGCACTACAGGAAAGGAGTTCGATGATGAAACAATTGAGGGACTTGCAGATGAGTTTGCCGCCAAGGTTCCAGACCAGGTATTCAGCCCAGCTGAGATCCTGCTATCGTTCCTGCTTGAACGCAAGCAGTCGCCTACCGACGCAGTGGCTGATGTGGAGAATTGGGTTGCCAAAACCAGCAAAGAAAGGGGAAAGGTGAAGAATTACGCCAGAGCACGAGCATTGCCAACCCCACTGACTCTTTTCGAGGATCTTGCGGAGAGTTCCCAGGTTCCCAATGCTTGATCCATCCGCGAGAAAGCCTGGGGGAATCCTAGGATTCTTACGTCTCGTTTTTTATGCTTGTATAAAGGGAAAAGTT